ATTCAGCATATATGTCATTCACACAAGCTACATACCTCCCTGCTGTGTCTTCACTTGCACTGGAGCAGAAAATGGTCCTGGACCCCTACTGGTGAAAGCCTGCACCCTGATAGTGTAGATAGTTTGTGGTGTCATATCACCGATTGTGGTCAGCTGATTCCTATCAACATTTCGAGCATTCCATGCATTTGTTGGAAGTTTAGGGTTAGTTGTGTAGTACACTTTGTAACTCTGGAAGATTATACAATAAAACTTCACAAATTGCTTACTGCACCCCTCAAATGAAACTAATCACTATAGCACACTTATGATGTGTGGTAGTTTACTATTAGAGAGTACCTACTACATTACAGGGCTGTGATGTAGTAGTTTAGTATTATACAGGATATGTTACATTACAGGGTTTTGACATGTGGTAGTTTAGTATCATACAGTATATGCTACACTACAGGATTGTGACATGTGGTAGTTTAGTATTATACAGTATATGTTACATTACAGGGTTGTGACATGTGGTAGTTTAGTATCATACAGTATATGCTACACTACAGGATTGTGACATGTGGTAGTTTAATATCATACAGTATATGCTACACTATTGGTTTGTGACAGGTGGTAGTTTAATATCACACAGTATATGCCACACTACTGGGTTGTGATATGTGGTAGTTTAGTATCGTACAGTATGCTACGCTACTGGGTTGTGAAATGTGGTAGCTTAGTATCATACAGTATATGCTATACTACTGGGTTGTGACATGTGGTAGCTTAGTATCATAGAGTATATGCTACACTACTGGGTTGTGACATGTGGTAGCTTAGTATCATACAGTATATGCTACACTACTGGGTTGTGACATGTGGTAGCTTAGTATCATACAGTATATGCTACACTACTGGGTTGTGACATGTGGTAGCTTAGTATCATACAGTATATGCTACACTACTGGGTTGTGACATGTGGTAGCTTAATATAATACTGTTCATTGCACTACTAGGTTATGATGTGTGATACAATACACACTTCACAACAAGGTTGTGATGTATGGTATATATATTATGGGTTATGATGTATGATACAATACACACTTCACAACAAAGTTAGAATGTATGGTACATATTATGGGGTTATGATGTAAGATACAATACACACTTCACAACAAGGTTGTGATGTATGGTACATATTATGGGGTTATGATGTAAGATACAATACACACTTCACAACAAGGTTTTGATGTAAGTATATATATTATGGGGTTTAGTTATATGATATTTTAATACAATGCAGTATGTCTTATATCCTTTATTTGTCATTATACAGGTATAGCAGAGATGTACATAAGTAATTCAGAAATAATTCTGGAAACTATAGTTATATCATATGTTTTATTGAAACTGACATAAAGATATGTACTTACAGTCACTTGACCATTCGGCTCTTTAGGATGGTCCCACTGTATGACAATTGTACTCGAACTGAGAGGTCGTGCTGTTACATTTCGTGGAGCACTACCTGGCTCTTTTACAATAGGAAAGAGTAATATAATGATGCAAATCAATATAGAAAATCTCTTAAATTTCATAAAATTAAAATCCCAACATCTCCCCCTTCAATCCATAACAAAAATCACATACCCTGGTATTATGTGCTAAATCAATAAACTAATTAATAATTAAATTACCTTATTACATTGTAAAACCAGTAATTTCTAAGCAATATTTCTTTTACAATTTTACACACTTATTTGGTACATCTTATTTTTTCCAACCAAAATATTTATGAAAATAGTGTAATTTTTAACTCATTTTAATGTGGCACTAAAAACATAAAATGTTTCATAATGTGTTTGAAGTCTTACACCACCTTTTACTTTATTAAAAATATCATTAATCTTAATTTCAAAAGTCAAACATTACTCAGATTATTAATAGTAATTTACAACTATGCATGATATCACAATGTGCTGGTGATTTCCTGTAACTTGTTGGTAACAGATTTTTAGTGAATGAAAACCAAAACATGAAAATTGTACTGAAGCAACTGACACATTAAACAAGTTGTAAAGTTCTAATACTACTTGCATTTGGCTAACAATACAGTGTACCATCTTAGAAAATTCCCTAGTAAAGATTTATATGAATAAGCATGACATCAAAATAACAAATAATGAACATTCATTTCAATGACCAAATTTCCAAAATAAGGAAAAAAGCAAGGAAAAAACATACTGCATTCTAAAACAAGCCTAAATGCAAACAAAAATTACATGTAAAAAAAAAAACTCCTCCATTTTCAAGGTTACATTACTATAGGATGATACTAATATAAAAAAAAACTGCATGTGACATTATTAGTTAGTGTCATTGTAAAGAACAACACTACAGAATAGCTGCATGTGACATTATTATACAATGATACTAACAGAACAACACTACAGAATAGCTGCATGTGACATTATTATACAATGATACTAACAGAACAACACTACAGAATAGCTGCATGTGACATTATTATACAATGATACTAACAGAACAA